AGCAGACTGGACGCTGTATAGGAGACTGGTTCTATGGACGTCTGATAAGGCTGTTTACCTTTGATAGCGATCATCAGCGCGACAAATATTTTGTGCTTATCACCATGATTATGTCTGAAGACTGGCTTGAACATGAGGCTCTCTCTTGGGGGGGCGCACAACAATAGCTTCAGTTTTATTGATTAATATTACAATATGCTGTGCTGAAACCTATGTGAGAAACACGAATCTATAAAACCATCACTCTTCTTTCTACTGAGCCATAATCTGTAACGTATCCAACCACTTTTTTGTCCGTCTTCCTGTTTGTTCGGGGTGTCCCTCAAGAGGCCTGACGCCTAACCGCTACAGTGTGGTACCACAGTACCACATGATGTTAGGCTTGACAGTGCGCGGGAACGTGGAGCCACATAGGCAGGAAATGGAAATCCTAAGGCTGTAAAAAAGTGCCTTGCAATAACTTATGCAAACCGTGACCAACAACATCCAATCCCTGGAACAATTTTCGACGCTACTTATTCGGAGGCCGGTGTTTTCGGGACGAGAACCGCCGAAAGTTGCTTTTTAGGCATAGAGTTACCACAAAACTCTAGCTTAAGGTCGATTTATTTGTTAAAACTTCAACGGAACTCGTTTCAGCCTGGCTCAAGAAAGGTGAAGTTTGCTCTTCCAAAGTCCTACATCACCCACGGAAAGACGCCAAAGAAAACATTTGATATTGGTGAGTTCCAAAGCGTTCCGTTGAAAATATACTTCCTATTATTATCATATAAAATGGAGAAGACCAGCGGAGAATGGTCCAAAATTGATACTCGTTTGTAAGAAAGGGTACAAGTTGATGGTATCACTAATTTCTTTTCTTGTTTTGAGTAACGGTGATCAAGAATCCGTTTCGTGGCGCAGTCCCGGCTAACCGAACTTTCGCCTCTTCAAGTTCGATTACCGGTCTCAGATTTGGTACCAGATTTGTCTGTTGAAATGGAATCAGTAACGTTCACACCCAAAACATCAAACTACTTATGTACATTCGGAATCGCACACAAACTGCACCACGATTCCGAATGGAAGTAGAGTGCATGGTGAAAAAATAGTCTACCTTTTCATACTGTGTTCCTTTTTTCCATTGGAAGCCATTTTTCGATGTTCCTTCGGATTTACTATACACCAATTGTGAATTTGTTCAGGAGTTTTGAATCTTGAAACGATTTTCGCCAAAGAAGAACGGGAGATGATTGTGTCCAGAAGAAGACGAGGGGGCATCAATGCCGATTACATGGATCCCGACAAAAGCAAAAGTAGCGAAGAAGAGACGATGTTCTAAAACACTAAATAGTATTGTAATATAGCAATCGTTGGACTGCTTATTTCATTAAAATTAAGAATCAAAAATGTGATTATACATCATAAAATAATTTAGAAAATTGTTTGTGTTTTGATGCCATCGTCACGAGGGTTTTACGTTTAAGAATTTGTTATGGTCAGCGTTTAGATCGTCCCGTCGTTTTCAAAGGCCTAAACATGCTTCAGAGCCCATGAATTGCGCACTGTCCCATCAAACGCCCACTCCTCTCTAGTGTTCTCTGGCGTCCTGTCAGGAACGCACGAAAAACTTCCAGAACTCAAAAAAATAAGCTCACCTAGTTTCTACCGCGAAATTTAGCTTAGCGCTACACAGAGGCAGTAATCAGTAGCGAATGATGTTTCTTTGCCGTCCGTGAAGAATGTGCGGAGAAATCAGGGAAAATCAGAACACTTCATCGGTATGGTTTCCTAGGTCACCGTAAACATGTTGCACTGGGGCGCGCCGTTGAGCATTGGAGCGCGCAATCGTTCCGGCGCCCGTGCACACACCGTTCCTTTGATCGGGACCACGTTTGGAGCCTTATAGCATCTTCTACCTGCACGCACTCCTGTCGCCTCGTGGGGGGCGGATCCCACCTAGGACCACACTGGCCTGCGATAGAACTGCCGTGCCCCACTTTGTACAGCGACCCATAGTTGACGACCACATTCTCGTCATGGTTCTCGTCGTGTAGTGCGCAGAAAAAACGACGAGAACCAATCGATAAAATGTGGCACTGCGGGCCCAACGTAATAACTTCGTATAGCATACTGCGGAAACCATACTGAGAATTTTTGCGCGGCAAAGCACCTTCGCTGGCTATGAAAACAACTCGCAATGGTGCAAAAATGGCAAGAGATAATTAGTGATTGACACACACTCACTTCAG